ACGGGGGCGGGGGGAGAATCCCAAGCAGGCTCTGCACTGTCCGTGCAAAGCCCAGCACGGGGCTTGTAATCCTAAAGACCGTAAGATCATGACCTGAGCTGAAATCAAGAGTCTGAGCCACCCAGGCGCCCCAGATTTTATTTATTTTTGGGAGAGATTGAGAGAGCAGGGAGGGGCAGGTAGGGGGACAGAGGATCCCAAGCGGGCTATACTCTGACAGCAGCAAGCTGATGGAACGCTCAAACTTCCCAACCTCTAGATCATGACCTGAGCCAAAGTTGGAGCCACCTAAGCACCCCAGAGCTGGTGGTTTTTATTTTATTTTTTTTTAATTTTTTTTAACGTTTATTTATTTTTGAGACAGAGAGAGACAGAGCATGAATGTGGGAGGGTCAGAGAGAGAGGGAGACACAGAATCTGAAACAGGCTCCAGGCTCCAAGCTGTCAGCACAGAGCCCGACGCGGGGCTTGAACTCACGGACGTGAGATCATGACCTGGGCCGAAGTCAGCCGCTCAACCGACTGAGCCACCCAGGCGCCCCGAGCTGGTGGTTTTTAAAAATACTATTTTCTTGGGGTGCCTGGGTGTCTCAGGCGGTTAAGCTTCCAGCTCTTGATCTCAGGATGGTGAGTTCAAGCCTCACGTTGGGCTCTGTGCTGCGTGTGAAGCCTACTTAAAATAAAAACAAAAAATTTTCTTTCGTGTTTGAGACCTTTTGGCTGCAAGATAACTTATACATCTGCAGTTATGGTTGCATTGAAGGAAAGAGAAAGAAGGGACTGTACTAGTGTATCTGTGGCCCTTTGTGAGAAACAAAAAGTTTTCCCAGAACTGCCCCTGTCCTGCCCCCCACCGGTATGTTTTCATTAATGAGCACCGGCCAGAACCGAGATGCTCAACCGAATGAGCCACCCAGGTGCCCCTAGCTACAGACACGTTTGAGAAAACAATTATTTAGTTGGTCTTGTTGCCTCATCAAATACCCAGCCAGCTTCTCTTGGTAATGAAGAAGGGAGAAATGGATATTGAGTATATAACTATAATGTTTGCCCCATTCTCTAGCATATTACCTGGAAATTTAAATTTTCTGCAGTAAAGGTTTTAGTTTGCAAATGGATGCTTTATAAATTTGTTAATAATCTCCTGTCTTTGGTTTGCTTCTGGTTATTTTCAGTAGCAGTGTACATATTCTAATTTTCTGGTGGATGAAGTGGTATCAGCTCAACTCCATGGGAAAGAGAAGGTTCAGGGCTCCTTTAATCTTTAAGACTTGAATTTAACAGCTTAGGGTACCTGTTAACATGCTTAGTGCTGCCACAAAATGTAATGTGAATACTGAAGAATTCTATAACATTTTTCCTTTTTTACCCTTGGGTTGTTTACTGGCTCCATAGGGAGAAAAAAAAAAAACCCTTATGCATGAAATAATTGGCTAATAGTAAAGAATTCAGAATTATTTCGTTAATTGTTTAGCACATTGAGTGGTATAAGATTAGAAACTTTTTTCTTTTTTCTTAATTTTTTTTTTTAGTTTGTTTATTTCGAGAGAGAGAGTAGGAGAGGGACAGAGAGAGAAGGAGAGAGAGAGAGTCCCAAGCAGGCTCCATGGTGTCGGCACAAAGCCTGACGCAGGGCCTAAACTCATTAACTGAGCTCATGACCTGAGCTGAAACCAAGAGTCGGATGCTTAACTGACTGAGCCACCCAGGCTCCCCTAGAAACAATTTTTCTTTAGGGCCATTGATAGAAGCATGGGATGAATAAAATGAAAGCCAAGTAGAAGCTCTAATAACTGTTACAGGGCTGTATCAACACTAACATAAGAAGCAGTAAGAAAAATAAATGGGAAATACATTCCATTTTATGTTATACATACTAGCTCTTGAAAATGTGTCCATATGTAAGAACCATATAATTTATTATATGACCAAGACACAAATTAGAATATACCTTAGACACACATACACCCCCCAAAAATAATCTTTAATTTTTTTAACATAGTTAAATATGGTTCCGGGTTTGCTTTTCTATCTTTCTGGTAAAGCACAAACCTGAAATTTGAGATGCCTACTTAAGAAATCAGGTTTAACTAGAAAAAGACACTACTAGAAAACTATATGCCAGTATATCCCTGATAAATAATTTGTGTCTGTTTTGAGAGAATTTTTTTTAAGTTAAATACATTAGATGTCCCCCCCCAAATTTTTATTTAAATTCTAGCTAGTTAACATATAGTATAATGCTGGTTTCAGGAGTAGAATTTAGTGATTCATCATTTACATATAACACCCAGTGCTCATCACAAGTGCCCTCCTTAATACCTTAATACCCATTTAGCCCATCCACTACCCACCTTCCTCCATCAACCCTCAGTTTGTTTGCTCTATTGTTAAAAGTCTCTTATGGCTTGCTTTTCTTCCTTTTTTCCCCCCTTCCTATGTATTCATCTGTTTTGTTTCCTAAATCCCACATGAGTGAAATCACGTGAGCCCGATGTGGGGCTCGTGAGTTCATGACCTGAGCGGAAGTTGGAGGCTCAACCAACTGAGCCACCCAGGGGCCTCAGGATTTCATTCTTTTTGATGGCCAAGTTAGATTGATTTATTTATTTTAATTTTTTTAACGTTTATTTATTTTTGAGAGAGAGAGAGACAGAGCACGTGCATGGGAGGGGCAGAGAGAGAAGGAGACAGAATCTGAAGCAGGCTCCAGGCTCTGAGCTGTCAGCATAGAGCCCGATGGAGGGCTCAAACTCACAAACTGTGAGGTCATGACCTGAGCCGAAGTCGGAGGCTTAACCGACTGAGCCACCCAGGCACCCCAGATTTATTTTTTAAAGATTTTATTTTTAAGTAATCTCTACACAATTTGGGGCTCAAACTCACAACCTTGAGATCAAGAGTAGTGTGCTCTTCCCACCGAGCTAGCCGGGCACCCCCCCCCCCCAGATTTTTTAATTTAAGGACTTTATGTAAGGAAACACCAAACTAAATATACTTAGTTTAACCCTATTGTAGTTTAACAAATTACAGTTTAACAGATATTTCAAATTTACAGATACTACAATTTAAATATACTGAAGTTTAGTATACTTTACTAATATACTAAATTTAACCCTATTGTAATTTAACAAATTATAATTTAACAGATATTACAAATTTAACAGATATTTAAATCTGTTGTATGAGTTTATAATCTAACAGGGAAATGCAGGTTTCTTTTGGCTTTGTATTATGATTGTTTATTTGCGTAAGTGTATTAGTTTAGGTTGCGTTATGCTGTAGTAACATACACAATCAAAATCTTAGTGGTTTAACACAGTAAAAACCCTTGTTTAAACAGTTTGCCTGAGGGCTTGTTGGCTCTAAGAAGATTGATCTCCCTGTCCAGGATAATTTGGCCCTGAGGGCTTCTGTCTTTGGGCAATGCTTAGGATTCAGGAGAGCAAAAGATGGCTGAAGTCAAACACTGACAAATAATGCTTTTGCATGGGAATGACATGTCATTTTCATTTGTATGTCATTGGCTAAACTTAGGGACATGGCTGGGCCAACTCAAATGAGGGAAGAGGGTCTGAGTTCCTCTGTGAAATCAGTGGGATCCTCCACAAACTCAGAAGCAAAAGAGCTAATATGGTGGCTAATAGTATTGTCCACAACAAAGTAGCATAATATAGATAGATACAAAGTACCTCTGGAACCCAAAGGAGAAGAAAAAGAAACTGATTAGATGCAAGAAAAGTCACAGGAGGCTTCATAAAGATGGTGACAAATGATCCAAACATAAGGGGATGAGTAGGAATCTTAGGTTTGAAGAGAAGAAAGGGCATTCAAATTGAGGGACTAGGACCATCCTAGAGAAGAGTGGATGATATAGCCAGAAAGGAGGAATGGATTAGATCACACAAGGCCTTGAATTCATTTAGCATTCATTCAGCAACAATGTATGGCACAGCTACTCTGTGTCAGTCACTGCTCCCAAGTTCTAGGAATATCTGATAATGCACAAAACAGACAAAAATCCTTGTCCTCCTGAAGGTTACATCTGGTTGATGCTAAGAAATTACTCTTTAATTATAAGTAGATTGAGGAGTAAGAGTAACATAAGCAAAGGTACAAACTTTGGATGCCTATGAATCTTAAGATTCTTTTAATATTCCTATTTTATGTGTAATAGAAGACAGTTGACTTGGATGTAAGTTAATGTTTTCTCCATTTAACTGTCTCACGCTAGAAAACTTAATGTATGAAAAGCTGAATTTACAAAACATGTAAATTAGAAAATACATTTACATTACACAAGCTTTTTTAAACCAAATTGTGGCTAGTACAATTTTAGTGACTGTATTTTTGTTGTGTAAATAGTAAAACCACTTGATACATTTCCCTCGTGGGACAGGACTTTGTTTTATATACTGCTGTGTTCCAGTTCCTAAATTATATTCTCTTTGGATTTCTCACTAAGTAGTGATGTGGCAGTGAATAAATCACAAAAGTATCCTCATCTGGTGAAGGATCATATGTGCTGGTGCATTTAATAGCTATGGAAAAGTTACATTCTTTATGATTATAAGGCAGCCTTGTTACTCCTATTTTATGTTACAACGACATACAAAAAATATCTCATTTCCTTCTGAACACCCACTTCAACCCTTGATGATATTTTTCTTCTTGGCATTTGCTTGTTTTCCTCATAAATTTATATCGTGGGCAAATTCCTTTAAAGTGCTAGATACGTTAGGATTAAAATTAAAGCAGTGGTGTTTTGTTTCTTCAACTAGGGGCTCTTAAAACTTGGCAGGTACCATGTGTTCTCTCATTTCCTTATTTTTATGTATGTTATATTGTAGCACACGTCACATGGAGATGGGCGGCAAGAAGTTACCTCTCGCACTGGGCGCTCTGGAGCTCGGTGTAGAAACTCTATAGCTTCCTGTGCAGATGAACAACCTCACATCGGAAACTACAGACTGTTGAAAACAATCGGCAAGGGGAATTTTGCAAAAGTGAAATTGGCAAGACACATCCTTACAGGAAGAGAGGTAAATATTAAGTTTAATTTCTGTTATGATACTTGCTTTGTTCAGTTCCATGTGAGAGAGGAAGAGAATGTATATATTACTTGAGCGAATTTCTGAGCTAATGAAATATTGTTTTTAAGAACAAGAAACTTACATACTAATTTTCTGGGAGTTCCTTTGCTTTCTCATGTCTTTAAATGTAGTATTACATTGAGTGTTCGAATTGGCTTTTGCCAAAGTGGGTAGTGTTTTGTTCTAAGAACTGCCACCAGATTAATATTCTTTCTGCCACCAGAATAAAAATTGTTTGGAACTTAATGTATAAGCTCACAGTACTTGGAAATCATGAGTGTTGTCTATTTTTGTAGATTTTATGACCAAGAAGTTTCTTCATTTCACCAAAGAAACTTTTCTCATAGCCTAGGTTTGATTGGCTGTTGTACAGGAAGGCATATGCTTTCCTAACTTTTGTGATGATTGGCTTTCTGCTCAACTGCATTCTGTATTTATCAAAAATACACCTGTTAAAACTCCTGAATTGACTCCCTCCACATGTTCCACATGTGCAATACAGAACCTGTTTTGCTTCTTTGACTTCTTGCATTTGGGTCTCTATGCCTGCTATTTCCTCTGCCTGAAATGCACTTCACACTTTTGTGTAGCAACCACTTCTTCTGGGAAGGAGTTGTTGATGGACTCCCTTTTCCCAGGTATGGGACTCAGGTTAAAATTCTTGGTACTTCCCCTCAGATAGCACAGTTTACATTTATGGGAACTGCTTATTTACCCATCTTCCCTCTCTGGTCTGCAGGGCAGATAGCTGTACTTAACAGCGTTTGGCACATAGTAGGTGCTTAGTAAATATATGTTGAATGATATTAATGATACTTCATTATTTTATTTTATTTTTTTTAATGTTTATTTTTGAGAGAGAGAGAGAGACAGAATGTGAGCAGGGGAGGGGCAGAGAGAGAGGGAGACACAGAATCTGAAGAAGCGGGCTTCAGGCTCTGAGCTGTCAGCAGAGAGCCCGATGTGGGGCTGGAACTTGTGAACCATGAGATAATGACCTGAGCTGAAGTTGGACGCTTAACCGACTGAGCCACCCAGGTGCCCCTGTAATGATACTTTTGAAGGAAGCTTTTTAAAGAAATGCTTTCCCTGCACCAGAGCCTCCTGATACATATGCCATGACAGCATTACCGACGTGTCATGGCATTGATGCTGCAGCCCACCATGCCCGGGGCTGCTGGAGCAGGGCCAGGGGCCAGTTATTCGTCTGGAAGCAGCCTCTGCTGCAGGGTGCCCTCCAGATATTCCTGTTTTCCATGAGTGCTGGGAGCTGAAGAAGGCTGGAAGCCCAGGTCCACACTAACTGGAATATTAAGTACAGACTTGAACCAAAAGTTTGCCTGTTCACGTTCCATCTCAACTTGGTGACATATCCATGGTCAGTACTCCTTGTTATGAAGATCCCTGGGCTGCTTTTCGAGTCCATGAACAGCATGAGCGGAGGAGGGTCTTGCCTTGCTGTCCCTGAGTAGAGCTTTCTGAAACTCAAGACTTCTTGAGTTTAGTCTCCACAATTCTAGGTGGTTGCTTGGCCAGTTTCCTCACACGGGCAGATGGTGGGTTGGAAGAGGAATGGGCCAGACAGACCCTCTCACTTTTTCCTTAGCTGTAGTTTGGCCTACTGTATTTACATCTGGTAGGTTCTCTTGCCAAAAAAGCTTGAATCTGACTAGCAGAGTGACTTAATTTAAAGTTTTCCTTCTTCTTCTTCTTTTTTTTTTTTTTTTTTAACTTTGAATTAAACTATTTTAGGGGCGCCTGGGTGGCTCAGTAGGTTGAGCGACCGACTTCGCCTCAGGTCATGATCTCACGGTTTGTGAGTTCAAGCCCCCACGTCGGGCTCTGTGCTGACAGCTCAGAGCCCGGAGCCCGCTTTGGATTCTGTGTCTCCCTCTCTCTCTGCCCCTCCCCCTCTCATGCTCTATCTCTCTGTGTCTCGGAAATAAATAAACGTTAAAAAAAAATTAAAATAAATAAACTATTTTACTCGATCCCCACCCCCTTACTGTAGGTATCACCCAGAATCCTAGAAAATGTAATATTTATATTTCTATAGTCTGGAAATTCATTATGTAGGAAGTACAAGTTCCTTGAAATTTCTCTTCTCAAAGAGGATCACTTGTTTGGTGTAGATTCTCACAGTATTTTATATAGATACTAATTTTTTGTTTATTTTAACAAAAAGAGACTCATGGATATAATGGTAACTTTTTTTTTTTTTTTAATAATGGTAACTTTCTTAGCAACATATCTGATTGTGTCTGGATCTCAGTGCTCATAGATCTGACACATTCTATCTTACACGTGTGTGCTGTTGCTGTGGTTTATCCCTGTCAGTGGGCCTTGAGTGGTTTCTGATTTTTTGCTACTGTAAGCATCTGCAGTGAAAGTTTCTTAACTCTCTACTCTGCTTAAGTGTTTCTGTGGGATAAATTCCTACAAGTGGATATCCAGGTCAAAAAGGATGAATATTTGATATTGTAATAGGTACTGGTGAATTGCTTTTGAGAAAATTTTACAGCATTTTATTATCCTATCAAAGTGAATGAAAGTATCCATTTTTCTGCACCCTTACTAATACTACATAGATCATTTTTATCTGATGGACAAAAAAAAAATGTATTTTTTTTGCAAGCTTCTTTTTGGTAACAGATTGATATTTTCATGTATTTTTGTCATTCATATTTTCTTTTTAAAATAAGTTTCCTATTTGTGTCCTTTATCCATTTTTCTTTTCCCGTTTAAATCTTAATGATTTAAACCCGTTATATGTTTCATACATCAGTCTGATCTGTCTGAGTTTCATGTCTAATCTGAGTTTCATGACTTGGTAAGAAAGGTTTAGTTACTTTGCCCCAAGATGTAAAAAATGGCTCTGTATCTTCTTCAAATAGTCCTGTGGATCCCATTTGAATGTTTAATTCATTTGGTATATATTTTGGGGGATTGGTATGAAGTGTAGGGCTTTAGTTTTTCTTCCCCCATGTGGTTTATCACTTGTCCTGGGATCATCTGTTCTTTCCCCCAGTTGAAGATACCTGCTTTATCACTTACCAAATTCCTGTATATGTCTTTTGGTTAATGTCTGATCTATTTATTTAGTCTTGTACCCATACTACGGTAATTTTATTATGGCAGCTTTGAATTGTACGTTTGGATGTTTTAGAGTAGGTTAAGTGCTCTGAGGATTATTCTTTTTTTTTTTTTAATTTTTTATTTTTTTTTACATTTACATCCAAATTAGGTAGCATATAGTACAACAGTGATTTCAAGATTAGATTCCTTAGTGCCCCTGACCCATTTAGCCCATCCCCCCCTCACAACCCCTCCCATAACCCTCAGTTTGTTCTCCATATTTATGAGTCTCTTCTGTTTTGTTCCCCTCCCTGTTTTTTTATTATTTTTGTTTCCCTTCCCTTATGTTCATCTGTTTTGTCTCTTGAAGTCCTCATATGAGTGAAGTCATATGATTTTTGTCTTTCTTTGACTGGCTAATTTCACTTAGCATAATACCCTCCGGTTCCATCCACCTAGTTGCAAATGGCAAGATTTCATTCTTTTTGATTGTCAAGTAATACTCCATTGTATATATATACCACATCTTCTTTATCCATTCATCCATTGGTGGACATTTAGGCCCTTTCCATACTTTGGCTATTATTGATAGTGCTGCTGTAAACATGGGGGTGCCTGTGTCCTTTCGAAACAGCACACCTGTATCCCGTGGATAAATGCCTAGTAGTGCAATTGTTGGGTTGTAGGGTAGTTCTATTTTTAGTTTTTTGAGGAACCTCCATACTGTTTTCCAGAGTGGCTGCACCATCTTGCATTCCCACGGATTATTATTTTTTAAAAACTTAATATCTCTTCTTGCCATTTGCTGTGTTAAATGAACTTTAGAATCAAGATGCCATGTTCCAAAAATAGTCTTAGTGGAAATTCGGTAAGATCAATTTTGATAGGAATTAACTGAATTTGTAAGCTGATCTGGGGGAAATTTGCTATTTTATGATACCAAACCTTTCTATACAGGAATATGAAATGTGTCTCAATTTTGTTTTCAGAGTTTGTAATTTTTTTCACCTAAGTTTTTGCATAATTCTTTTTCAAGGGGGTTAGAAATAAATTTTATTGAGTAGGTGAATAGTTTTACATAATTCTTAAGTTCATTCCAGGGTATTTAAAATTTTTTTTGCTGTTGTGAATGGAATTTTTTCCTTAGTTGTTAAGGAAATGCTGTAACATTTGTATAACATCTTGTATCTGGGCACCTTTTTTTCTTTTTTTTTTTTTTTAATTTTTTTTAACGTTTATTTATTTTTGAGACAGAGAGAGACAGAGCATGAACGGGGGAGGGTCAGAGAGAGGGAGACACAGAATCTGAAACAGGCTCCAGGCTCTGAGCTGTCAGCACAGAGCCCGACGCGGGGCTCAAACTCACGGACCGCGAGATCATGACCCGAGCCGAAGTCGGCCGCTTTACCGACTGAGCCACCCAGGCACCCCTCTGGGCACCTTTTGAACTCTCATTTTGGACATCAAAATTAAGCAAGTTTTTGCTATTTTTTAAATTATACATCTTTTTCCTTTGACATACAGTCTTCTGAATTGTAACAGTTGTATAGATTTATGTTGCCACCATGTAATGAAGATACAGAAGGGTAGCTACATGGAGCTGTCAGGCCAAACTGTTTTTTAAAGGATGGGCAAAATACCAACATGTTTATCAGTTAATGGGGATAATCTGACAGAAAGGGAAGATGGTGCTATCAGAGAGATATTTGAGTGAATAAGAGGAGATGGTGGAGGCGTTGGCCTTGATGTGGACAGTTGTTCCATAGAAACAGGAGAAAGATAGAGGATACTCGTATAGGTACAGGTGAGGGACTCTGTATGGTGGTATGGGAGCCTGTGGAAGTTTTCTTCTCATCACAGCTATTTTTTCAGTAAAATGGAAAGCAAAATCATCAGCTAAGAGTGTGATTATCAAGGAGACAGGAGGTGTTAGACATGTGAGAGGTTATAGTAATTACCAGGCAAGCAGGAGAGTGAACGGACTAGAAGAATTGCCAGGCAGCCTTAAGGCTTCCCTGAAGTTAGCGATCATGGATTCAAAGTGGGAATAGGCACCATGGCTGGAAGTTACTCTCCAGCAACATCCAGGTACCCCAGACACAAGCCTGGCATTTGTAGATGGTTGGGGTTTTTGTCACACTAAGTGTAGTGAAATGGGAACAGAGCAAGGGCATTGATTTGGAATATCTAAGGGAATGATTACAATGAAGGACTACAGATTTGAATAGGAAATAACTTGAGTGGGAAGACAATCCATAAGAAGATGGTGGGACCAGTGGATTATGGATCCTGGTGAGTTCAAATAGTTACTGGAGTTCTAATTTTTTTTTAAGTTTATTTATTTATTTTGAGAGAGACAGAGACAGTGCAAATGGGGGAGGGGCAGAGAGAGAGCTAATCCCAAGCAGGCTCTGCACTACTAGTTCAAAGTCAGATGTGGGGTGTGAACCCATGAAGCCGTGAGATCATGACCTGAGCTGAAACCAGGAGTCGGACACTTAACCCACAGAGCCACCCAGGGGTCTCAGTTATTGGTTGGAGTTCTAGATTGAGTGGGTGGGAACCATAGAGGAGGTGATTAGAAAGTGGGAAACTCAAAGTTAAGGTCATAAAGAGATTTCATATCTTGGTAGTTGCAGAGGTTAGAGTATAACAATGTAAGTGGCTTAAGTATGTGACTTTTTCTTCCCCTCTCTAGAAGCTTTTTAGACTCTTCACATTTCTCCTTGCTGTTCAGAAATTTCACAGTGAGGTTCCAAGGAGTTGGTCTTCATTCATTGTTCTTGGCTGCTTATTGGACCCTTTCAATTTGGAGATTCTTGTCTTTCAGTTCTGGAGAATTGTCTCATTTTATTTATTATTTAAAAGTCTTTATTCCAGGGGCGCCTGGGTGGCGCAGTCGGTTGAGCGTCCGACTTTGGCTCAGGTCACAATCTCGCGGTCCGTGAGTTCGAGCCCCGCGTCGGGCTCTGGGCTGATGGCTCAGAGCCTGGAGCCTGTTTCCAATTCTGTGTCTCCCTCTCTCTCTGCCCCTCCCCCGTTCATGCTCTGTCTCTCTCTGTCCCAAAAATAAATAAACGTTAAAAAAAAAATTAAAAAATAAAAGTCTTTATTCTGTAATTCTTATTAATCAGAGATTAGTAAGATCTCTTGGAAAAGAACCTTGATTTTTTTCTGGGGAAAAAAAAATTCTCTGTGTTTCTATTTTATTTTCTGGGGGATGTCTTTAATTTCATTTTCCCAGCTTTCTGTTAAATTTGTGTGTATGTGTGTCCCTATGTATGCCCTCTTCCTCCTCCCAGCTTTCTTGTGCACTGATTATTTGTCTGTATAGCATCCATTTCTGGGGTCATGAATGCTATTTCTTCTGTTAACACCCTGTGAGGATAGTAAAGACTTTCCTCTTTTTTTTTTTTTTTTTTTTTAAATAGAATTTGCTCCCTGCACTGTATCTCTTTTCTCTGGGATTCTTTCTTGGTAACTGTCTTTCATACAGAGACTTTCTTTGGAATCTGGTAATCTTTGGTTATCTGTTTGTATTTAAGTTGGAGCCTTCAGAAGCTGATCAGAAGCTGAGTTTGCACGCATAGGGATATGTTTGACCACAGAGCTTTCGTTTTGGAAGTTGTCTGGTGCTTTTATTGGAGGACCCCAGTCTTTAGATCTCTTCTCGTGGGGCCATTTCATTTCTTTAAATGAGAATCCTCTCTTCTGCCTGGGAGGAGCTGGTGGTCCAACCCCTCTGTGGCAGTCTGACCCTTCATTTTCTGTTTCATGTCCATGCTTCATTCCTGTCCTCTGCTGGGCCCATTCACCTTGAGTCCAGAACCTCATCATCTTCTCCACAGAATAAATTTGCAGCCTCTAAAGAACCAGTGGTTAAAAAAAAAAAAAAAAGTAGAAGGAACCAGTGGTTATTGGCTGGGTTGGGGAGCAGTAGACATTGTGTATACAGCTTTTGACCTTGTAATTAGCCCTACTAGTAGCTCCAGTGTTGCTTGTGATTTCTCAGAACCTCCTAAGTTTGAAGCCCATCTGGAGCCCTTTGGACAAATCATGTTGTTTCTGGTTACAGTTTTCTCTGTTCTCTTTCAGAAAATTATTGAACTATCTTTTCCACTATTGTCTTCTCAACTTGTTACTGTGCACTTGTGCCTTTGTGCCTTGACTGTCGTTAACCTCCTCACATCTGTGTCCTGCCTCCTGCACTGAAGGAGCCAGAAGGGGAAAATTGGATCTGGAGCCTCGTTTATCATTTGTCATTGATTGTAAGAATGATAAAACCATAGTACTTCATCCTGGGATGTGTTCCACTTCTTGCGACTTTAGATTAATGGTCATAAATTTTAGTCACAACTTTTTGTGTGGGTGAAGATGGCCTTCGGAGAGTTGGAAGAGGAAAAAAATACCACAATGACCATATTCTGAATACCATTCTTATTTTTGTATATTCTCCATATTTATATGCATGTTTTTTCGATATATTTTTGGTCATAATTTTGTATCCTGGGTCTTGTCCCTCAGAATTTCCTCCAAAGCAGTTTTCCAGGCCTCCACATGGTCCTCCGAGTAGGCTTAGTGGCTGTGCACAGCTGCGCTGGGGAGAACAGTCCTTCTGCTCCTTGTGCCTCAGGTTGCCTTTAGACCTCTTAACGTGAGGACTCCCGAAAAGTGTTTGTTTACATGGGTTATATATGTTGATATTTACTGTACTAGAAGTTAACACTAAAAAAGTTCAAGTATTTATTAATTCACTTCAAGTAATGACAGACCTATTATGTTTAATATAAATAACATTTTTATGAAAAGAGACTCTATTGTTCAAAGCTAGTTACTGAGAAGAGTGACATTGTTTTAATTTTTGCAAATCTCTTTAGTATCTGGCTTAATATAAGGTAGCTGGATTTTTCATACATTCTTCTGCATTCAAATTGCGTCCGTATACTGTTTCAGTTGAAGTTTATGAAGAAAATCTAACCTCATACAGAAATGGTAGCTAGAAGAGAGGAGTATCTTAATTCTTCTTTGGGATGATTGCAAATTTTGTTCTCTGATACTATGCTAAAACTCAACAAGTAGGAATTTGGTGGCAGGAGGGGGCATGATTAATTGAACATGTATTCAGAACAACTATAGTGACTGCCAAAAAGTGTTAATACCCAGAACAATTTGCTTCAGTTGGAAATGAATAATAATAGATCTAGAAGCGAGCAAGCAAGCAGAAGGGCAAAAGAGCCTCGTATTCCGATAACAGGTATAACTGAAAAGTATAAAGATGATCATCTGGCTTTTAGTATAATCTGAAGGTGGAGTATTTACAGTTAGTGTGCAGAAAAAGAGAAAAGCCTCGCCTAACCCAATTAGTACAAATTAAGAATCACTTAATCACACAGTTGTTACACTCTTTTATTATAAAATGTGTATAACAAAACTACAGTCTTAACCATTTTAAGTGTACAGTTCAGTGGCATTAAGTACAATTGCATTGTTGTGCAACCGTCACCACCACCCATCTCTAGGACAGATATGGTTGATCTTATTTGTAAATTCACCTACTCACTACAATTTGTTTGTAATTCCAGAATCAATACTTGTGGTGCTTTTGCAGTATTTGTGGACATGCACAAAGCATCAAAAAGTTTGAATTGCCCAATGTGTGCATCCCCAGTTGAGCTCCAACAAGGTGATGATGTTCTCTGCCTTGTTTCAGCTTTCGTACTATAAACAAATGCTCTTTTTGTGGTCTGTGTAGTCCGTGTTTTTTGCATTTTTGTGCTTTTTGTTGTCAACTTTGCTGTTTAAAATGGCCCCCAAGAGTTGGCCTGAAGTACTAGCCAGTGTTTTGTGGGTTTTTTATTTTATTTTATTTTTTGAGAGACAGAGCATGAGTGGGGGAGGGGCAGAGAGAGAGAGGGAGACAGATCCGAAGCAGGCTCCAGGCTCCAAGCTGTCAGCACAGAGCCCGACACAGGGCTCGGACCCAGGAACTGTGAGATCATGTCCCGAGCTGAAGTTTGATGCTTAACCGACTGAGCTACCCAGGTGCCCCCTGGCCAGTGTTTCTAAGTGCAAGGCTGTGTTGTGCCTGATAAAGAAAACACATATGTTAGATAAGCCTCATTCAGATGTGAATTAAATTCTGCTGTTGGCTGAGAATTCTATGTTAACGAATCAATGATATGTAGTAAATAAGGTGTCCTTAAAGAGAAACACACATAAAACAAGGTTATATTGATCAGTTGGTGAAAATTTTTATGATCCGGGGCCCAAAGGAGCCTAACCCTGTATTTCTTCTAGGAACAGTGCTTCCAGTATTTGCTGATTCAGTGTTCACAGTGGCTTTATAGAACATAATTACCATACCCGACAATAATCAGCTGTCTCTGTTTTTGAAAGAGAAGACTCAGTTATCTGGTGTTTTCCCTGAACAGATACATGGAGAAGGGTATTAGGGAAAGTCATAGGCTTTCCTTGTATATCTGATGGTTTTTGATTCACTGTTAATGTTTTCAAGAGGGGAGCACTAGGAAGCAAACTGAGAGCCCTCTACATAGGATGGGGTTTATGGAAGCTGCTGGTCAAGTGCCCAGCTTAGCTTCCAGGTAGCCAGTAGGAAAGTTGCTCTTATATAGCTTGGGACCTTCCACATACACAGCACAAAGTGACTTCCTCAGTTAAGTTTTTCATGGATTGTAGCCTTCTTTGAGTACACCCTAGGCTTGTATGCACCCTGCCACATGTGCTTCAGATTTTTATTTTCCAGAAATTGTTTAAAGTCGCTTGTATACTGATGGTACCTCTCTCATTCTCTTTGCCATTATTTGTCATTCTTTATTTTTTAGCTGGGCCATCAGGTGGGAGAAGAGAGAAATGTATATGATGCTATCTTTAACCAAATGTCTCATTATGGTTATGAAAAATCATTTAGTTAGTTATTTTGAGGGGGGGAGGGGCGGGGGGGAGGGAGAAAGAGAGAGAATCCCAAGCAGGCTCCGTGCTGTCAGCACAGAGCCCACTGCAGGACTTGAACTCATGCACCATGAGATCATGACCTGAGGAAAAATCAAGAATCAGATGCTTAACTGACTGAGCCACCCAGGTGCCCCACATCTGCTTACTTATTCAAGTTATATATTACACAGTTTAAAGAGTACAGGCTTGTTTAAAAAAAAGTGTCCCTTGATCCCCCACCTCCATTCCCTACTCTTCCAGGATAGTCACTTTTCAGTCTTCTAAACGGATTCCTTTTTTTTTTTTTAAGTTTTATTTTTAATTCCAGTTAGTTAACATTCAGTGTTATAGTAGTTTTAGGTGTACAATATAAACTGATTCTTTAGGTTTTACTACTATATCTTTAACATGCTTTTATTCTTTAAAAATTGTTTTTATTGAAGTATAGTTGACACATAGCATGCTCTTATTTTTCAGTTTTAAACGTTACCTACTGTTTTTTTCATTATGGTTATTTAGAGTCGTGATTGACTTTTTAAAAAATAAACTCTTTATTGAAATCCAACACACATCCAGAAAAAGTGCCCACATTGTAAGTGTACACCTTGATGAATTAGCACAAAGTAAACACATTTGCATAACCACGACCCAGGGCAAAACTATACTATGACTTGAACTCCGGAAGCTTCCCTTCTATCGTCTAATCACCTGTCTGCCCTTCTTTCCCAAGGTGACCACTATCCTGACTTCTAGCACCGTAGATATTTTTTTTTTTCTTAACGTTGTATTAATGGAATCATGGTATATATTTTGTGTTTGCCTCTTTCACTGCACTTTATGTTCGTGACATTCTTCCATGTGTTGTGCCTTT